GGAGAACACTTTTTTGTTTTTTTTGAGCTAGGGTCTTACTCTCTAGCACAGGCTGGTCTTAAACTCACTGAGATCCTCCTGCCTAAGTCTCCTCTGAGTGCTGGGATCACAGGCGGGGAGTGTGTCGTCTGAAGAACATTTCACAGACACATCCACACAGCCACCACCCACAAGGTACTGAGAGCACTGATGCGTGTGAGGCGAGGCCCTGCCACTCGGTGACCCCCAACCAACAACTACAGCTCTTCCTTCCATGGCTGCAGGAGTCTTGCTTATAAATGGCGCCATGGAGCAGTGGCTGTTGGTGTCTGGCCAGAGCCACACTTACATTTTCTTTCGAACAGAGACTTGAGGAGAAGCTGGAGTTCTGGATGGAGAAATTCGATAAGGACACAGAGATGAAGCAGAACGAACTGAACGCGCTCAAGGCTGCCAAGGCCAGTGACTTAGCTCACCTTCAGGAGCTGGCCAAGACAGTGAGTAGGAGGCAATCCTAGCGCAGGCAGCTGGGTGCAGGCCAGGGCCACTGCGTGCTTGGGAGCGGAGGCTGCCTCGAAGCCACAGGTGACGGTGACAGAAATGGGGACAAGCAGCAGCAGATCGCACTCATGTGAAAATTTTAAACCTTAAATTTGAATTACACTGAACAAAACTAGGAACATTATAAAGTTAATATATAACTAGTCCTTTTATATATATACAGGCGTGCGCCACCACGCCCAGTCTCTTCGGTTTTGTTTTTGAAGTCCCGAGATATTTTGCTATAGTTTGCATTTAGATTTAGCATGTTTCATTTCAAAACTTTGTATTGAGGGGGCCAGGGAGATGGATCAGTGAAATAAGCACTTCCCTGGCAAGTACAAGGGCTGGAGTTCAATACCTGGTTCTGCCAAAAAGAAAAAAACCCCAACTTTCTATTGAAAGTATAGAGAGCCGGCCAGATTACTCAGTGGACTAAAATGCCTGCTTAGGCAGAGCGCAGGTACTAGGGTTTGCTCCCAAGTGTGCCGTGCCCAGGCCCCACCCCAGGGGTGTGCTGAGATGGGGGACTGAGACAAGGCATGGTGGTGCGCACCTGTAATCCCAGCACTGTGGAAGGCTGAAAACAGGAGGATCACCACGAGTCCAATCTGTGTAGTAAGACCCTGTAGACCTTGTACTAAATACATATTTTAAAAAAGTATAGAGCTTGTGAGACCATAATTTAGCCAAAAAATTTTGGCGATGTGATCAATGTTTATTTTTGCAGATACGGGAGTATGAGCAGGTCATCATTGAAGATCGGATAGAAAAGGAGAAGGCTAGGAAGAAGATGGAACAGGATATGTTAGAACTCAAGAGCGCCATAAAGGTAGAGAACTGTCACTGGCTGGGGTTTTGGGGCTGCTCATAGCTCCTCCGTGGCAAAGGGACACAGCTGTTCTCGGACATTGTCATGGCGGCCTTTTGGAGCTGGGTGTAGTGATGCACATCCATGATCCCAGCGCCTGGGAAGCTGAGGCAGGATGATTGTTGCAAAGTCAAAACCAGCCTGTCTTAAAAACCAAAACCAAAAAGCCCTTTACATTACATTTGAGCAAACCAGGGTGCAGGGGTGACTTTCGTCCCGTCAGTGTCCCATGGGCACAGGACAGAGCAGCTGATGTGGGTGGGTATCAGGGGCGGTCAGCGGCGGGAGCAGCACTGGGGGTCACAGCACCTCTGGCCTGAACCAGCTCTCGGCAGATGATTCCAGAGTTCCCCACTGCTAAAATCCTGTGTGTACCCCAGCCAAGGCGACCTGCTTAGGCCTGGTGAGAGGCCCTTTCCAAAAAGCCGAGGAACCAGCAGCTGCTTAGCCAGAGATGTTTTAGTTTTCTATGAACTCACCTATTAGCAATGACAAAACTAGCAGAGCACACTTTTTGGGAACTGTTTTAGACAAAATGTAGGATGCAGAAGTACTATCAGCTGAGTTGAAGCTGCTGCCCAGAACCCCCCACCCCGGGGGGCATCTGCAGAGACTGCAGGTGGCAAAGTATAGTTTGGGTTGTAGATAAGGGGGTGGACCTAAACAGGAAGCTCCATTTTGTCTTTTTGAGACAAGGTATTGCTCTGCAGTTCAGGCTGGCCCTGTGCAATCCTCCTGCCTCAACCTCCCAAGTGCTGGGATTACAGTTGTACACCACCACACCCTGATCCTTACTTTTCATTCTCATATTACAAAGAAAATTTAGTGGAAGATCTTTCAAAAAAGGTAGCTTTGTCATCTGAGGACCGTTAGCATGATTAGATGTATGATTACCAAATATTTATCAAGTTTCTGTATTTTTCATTTGTCAATATTCTTTGATTTCGGGACAAAATCTAGGAACTGGCTGGATTATTGTTTTCTTTGGTGGAGCTGCTCCCAGTCTTTGGGGCTTAAGGATGCTTTTCAAGCAGCCTAGACCACATTCCTAAATAGTCAAGGTGCTCTTTCAATTTTTTTGGTATGGGGAGAGAAATTAAACTCAGGACCGCATGCTTGCCAGGCAGGTCGTTTTGTTTTGGCTGGCCTTGAATTCACAATGTAGCCCAGCCTAGCCTTGAACTCGAGGTAATCGTCTAGCCTTAGCCCAAGTGTTTAGATTACAGGCCTGGACCAGGCAGCCTAGTGAAGCCATCTGACTGATGCCTGCATTTTTCACTGAGTCAGAGAACAGATTCTCCTGGATATTCCTAGAGGCAAGGAGTACAAGGAAGTCAGGGTTCTTTTTTTTTTTTTTTTTTAAGGAAGCCAGGGTTCTAAGCATGAAGGAAAGCCAGCCTCATCACAGCCCCTTCTCCAGGGCATGCACACGGGTGTCAGGGTAGCTAGCCACAGTGGCCCAGCCGCTGTGATGGCTGAGGCTTTGGTGGGAAGGGAGCAGCACAGCAGGCACACGCCAATGGAACTCACTTCCCCTTCCCCTCCCAGCTGCAGGCCTGGTGGCGGGGCACCGTGATACGCAAGGAAATTGGAGGCTTCAAAATGCCTAAGAAGGAGAAAGACGACAGTAAGGATTCAAAAGGGAAAGACAAGGACAAACAGAAACGAAGAGGTAAAAAGTAACCAAGGCACCTCTCGTCCTTGCTTCTGGAATCTTGGAGACTGGGAGCATCACAGAGAACTCACCTCCAAGGTTATTTACTTGGACATTACTGGCAGAACCTGATGATTTCACTTGAATTAGGATACCAATACTTTTTTCTTCATACACTGGATTCTGCTTTGAATAAGTATTTTAGCAGCCTATTCCTCTTGCTCTTTCTAAGTAGAAAAAACTCTTGGGCTTAGGTATAATGACACATTAAAACTAATTACTCCTATCTTATTCTAATTTGTCTAAAAAGAGAATGTTATATACAAAAGTGAACTATTCTGTAGGAATTATAAGGTACAATATTAAACACAATAAATTTTAACAAATGCTAGTTCCTGCATTTTAGTGTTTTTGTTGGGGGAAGGTGACAGAATATTCATAAACTGTTCCACAAACATGCTGGCATTATAAATTATAGACAAGCTAGTAATAGAATGTGACGATGCATGGCTCACTTGTGGTAAAGATGGCACATTAGTTCTCTGGAAGGCTAGCTTGGAGATTTTTTCTTTTTTGAGAGTCTTTTCTATGTCGTCCAGACTAGCCTTGAACTTGCAGCAATCCTCCTGCTTCAGTTTCCCAAGTGCTGAGATTAGAGGTGTGCACGACTGTGCTGGCAAAAAATCTGGGATATTTTTGACAAGACACAATTCCCACATTGTGGGGTATTAAGACTGGAGGAGGAAGGCATATGAAAATACTTCCCAGTGCCAGGTACAGTCCAGTCGTGTGACCCCCTCCTGAACAATGATCCCACCAGATCATGCTTGCTCTGATCAACCAAATCAATGTCTCGGGATGCTAACACTTTCTCTATAGCATAGCTAGAAACTTCTAAGAGAAAAACCATCCTCACATGTCACATTTATGTTATGATAAGACCTCTATTCAACTTCAACTACAGGACAACCTTGCTATCTGTACTTCTTTAAAGTAAACTTCACCTCATAGGGCTGTTTTAAAGAAGCAACCCTTTGAAATTATCCTTCAGACATGAACTTTCAAACATTTATTACATGCTACTTGAGTGTTTAATGTCAATGTATAAGGTGGGATACAGGCAACTTAAAATAACATACATAATATTGACATTTATACTTAAACTTATGCAGTATATTTACAGACACAGACAAATGTTTTACAAAATGGACAATGTTTTACAAAATTTTACTAATTACATGTTTATAACATTTTCAGAATAAAATGAATCTGCTGTAACCCAGTTCACTGCACTATATAAATAAAAAGGCTCCTACTATCCATATTTTCCTTCATTTCTAGATCCACTTAAGTACTTGGTTTTCAAAATTCATCAGATTCATCAGCACAGTCCCACATCATTAGTTGCTGCTGACTGTAGGAAGCAAGATAAATTATAGACTCAGTGATTAGCTGTGCGGTGCATTTTAAGAAGCTGTTAAGGAGAGTGATCTCCTGCTCAGCCTTCTCCTCTGTTCTAGCTAGATACCCTGGCCTCCTCCTGTGAAGTTTCTAGACCTGGTTATTAAGGAGAATGCTGGTTTGGAGTATGAAGCAGATGCATCTAAAGGCCTGAAAACTGCTGACAGGAACTCGCTGTAGGTGGCAGGGGCCACCCAGGGCACTGAGCATGCTGAAACTGCCTGGTGCTCTCAGTGCAGGAGGTCCCTTCTCCCAGGCCAGGGCAGGTGTGACCAGGCCACAGTCAGCATACAGTTAGCAAGCCTGAATGTTAAATGGAACTGTTCTAGTTTTTTTTAAGAAAGGTACATAGATATGGTACATACAAAACACTAAGTAACAAAGTTCTCCAATAAAATTGTGGTTTTCTTTTTTTTGAGACAGGGTCTCACTATATAGTTTAGACTGGTCTCACTGACAGAAATAATTCAATATATTTGACATTTTTCTTTCATGATCAGCCAAAAGTGGACACAATTTTTTTTTTTTCTAACAATTCAAACACAAATTTGAATTAGCTTGATAAAAACGTATTACAGTTTCATGTTAAGGTTTCCACTTATTCCTATGTACAAGTGAGTATGGCTGGTGTTGCATTCTATAATGCCTTCTGGAGTCATTCCCCGCATGATATATTACAATTTATAAGGTAGAGATTTTACTGAGGTTTAATGTTGACTAGAAGGGAAAATACCTAGTTAAAAAAATACCGCTAAATTATAACCAAGTTACATGGTTGGTGGTGTGCTTGGGCCTGTAAAAGGAGTGGGTCTGGCTCTAAGTACTTATAAACATTTTATTGTTGTTCTGTGGGGACCTTAAAGATTGGGCTTTCAGCTCAGATGTTTATGTTATATAATGTTAAGCTTGAACAAAGTGGTATGGTTCTAATGAAGTTTACTCTGCAAGAACAGAGAACATTATTTGAGCAGATAACCAGAATGACTTTGTCCAAAGCTACTCTGAGATGCAGCATTCACCAGTGCTTACTCTGATTTACAAAAGCAGTGAAGCCTGAAAGCTAAAATGGGTCCACAGTTTAAACCTGAAAAAGGCTCTGCCTTGGTGCTCTGAGTCTTTAGCCCTTTGCTCTCCACAGCTGAGTGGAGAAGGCACTGGGGTGGAGTCTGGGAGGACGAGGCGGGAGGAGTGTTCCTAAGGAGCCCTCAGTGCTCTCAACCCGCCAGTTCCTGGAGGCTACATGACAGGGGCAGGAAACCTGGCTTCCTCCAATCTCTCTTGCTTGCCTTTCCTCATCTTTCACTGGCCAGGGAGCTAAGTGTCTGTGGGGCTAGATGCACCTGCAGGTCAAGGGATCCCAGGGGTAGCTTGCGGGCAAGGAGGTGCCCTGAGGCCAACACACAGTGGGAGCTGCTCCAGGGCCATCCTCTAACAGATGATGTGGAGGTTACTGGAATTGATCTTGGGGCATCTGGAACACTGCTTTAGATACTCCACCTGCCTCACTGTGCACAATCCAGGCTTTCTGTAGTATTGCTGTTTCACCTTTGACAGAACAGGCCAAGTCAACCTAACGTTGCTTTTGATTTTAAAAGTGACTGAAATGTGGTGGAGGCAGTGTCCCTACCAGGACAAATGCAGCTTGAAGTTGGGTCTCTATCACATGAAAACCACTGGACAGAATGCAGAGACTGGATTCCTAGGCCTCACCCCAGCCCCATTGAGTGCAAACCTGCAAATGCTCAGGAGAGCCTCATGCACACTTCCTGGCTGTCTCAGAGTGAGGGAGGTAACAGCACCTCTGCACCTTCCACACTGCTACATGAAGTAAGTCTCTAGCTCCTGCAGGGGCTTCGGTGCTCTGTAATAAGAAGTTGCATTTGAGAAAAATCAACCATGTCATCATAAAAAAGATTAATTGAAATGGACATAACCTCCCCTAAAATGGAGAAATGAAGCCAAACATTCCCAGTAGGAATCATGGAAACGTCCACTCTAGAATGCGTAAGAGCTCTGGTTAAGCAGATGGCCAGCAGCAGTAATCACGGTGTCCTGCTTGTACGATGGCCAAGCCAGTGCCCGCAGTCCTGTGGTCCTTACACAGCAGACAGCGGCTGCTGGGGCTGCTGCTGCTTGGGTGGAGCGAGTGCCAGGAGGGCCTGCACCGTCACTGCAACCTGGCCCAAACCTTTCTCTTCTAAAATGTGGAGAGGCAAGCACAATTGCTCCTACAGTGGGACAATATGACATAAAAACAAACAAAAAATATATATGAGATAAACATCACAGAACCAAAAGGAAGAAAGAAGCACTTTCCCCTCAGTATCACTAAATGAGATGAAAAGGCAGTACTTAGGGAAGCTGACCTGTTAGTATGAGTTAGACACAGCATGTCTGACATTGTCACTTTATTAACACAACTGAAGTACATACACATCATCTTGAAAATTCAAAACCTGACAAGTAGCATACATCTACATGAGCAACAGAGAAAATAGAATACTGTGGAGCGAAGCACAAATATCCTGTAATTTCTTTCTTTCTTTTTTTAAATGCAGTTCAAGCTGTCTTTGAACTCACTGCAGAGCCCAGGTTGGCCTGGAACTCTTAATGATCCCATCTCAGCCTCTGGAGTGTTGGGCTTATAGGTGTGTGCCACCATCCCCAGCTAATGTCTTTTATCTTTAATAAATAAAAGATCAATGCACATCTATAAAAGTCAGGAGGAAAAAACACTCTTTCAAGCTACCAGGATGATTCTAGTGTGCAACTCTTACCATCTGAGGAGAAAGCTTCGGGAGGCATATATCACAGGAGTACGAGACGGGTCAGGACATCACTAGGATTTTATGAGGGGAAGTCCCCTACCTGCCTCATCTACCTGGTTTTGAAAACTTGGTTTTCAGACCAAGCAGGGATCACAGGAGAAACCTGGGTGTATCTGAGCTTCTGAGATTGATATATATTTGAGGAACTTTCCTCAGTATTGGATAATTCCTGGAAGACCCAGTCTGAATTAAATGCACAAATCACAAAATTAAAAAGAAATTGTATTTATATTTGAAAAAGTAAAGTTTTTCAAATTCTGGAATTCGATGAATTAAATTATGCCGGAGAACTATTATGTCAACTTAGTAAGAAGTTCTTTTTGTGCATGAGCTTTTTTTGTGGAACCAGGGATTGAACTCAGGCCCTTGCACTTGCCAGGGAAGTGCTTATTCTACTGAGCCGTCTCCCTGGCCCCTGCACAAGGGTTTTTTAAGCCAGGGTCTTGCTATGCAGTTCAGGCTGGCCTTGAGCTCACTTTGAAGCCCACGCTGATCTTCAACTCACAATGATCCTCCTGCTTCTGCCTCCCAAGTGCTAAGATTGCAGGTGTGTGCCACTATGCCCATCTCAAGCTTAGTAACAACTTAACCACCAATATGTTAGAAGTTTTACGATTAAGAAGTTAAATATAGCTACCCTGCTTGCTTAATTAACCTTTTTGATTAATCCTTTCTTATAAGAGAAAAAGGAAAATCTTAATTGTACCATTTACCATTGGCTTTTCTATTAAGACTAAATCATAAAGAAAATGAGACTACTTTTAGTAGTTCTGGTTCCATTAAAAACAGAATATATATATATATATATATATATATATATCTGTTCATGACAGTAAGTGGATTTCTCTCTGCTCACTTGGCACTTATCACAGCATATTATTAGAAAGTTTTACAAAACCAGTTTACGTAATGAAAGTATAGCAAGTCTTTTTGAGGCAGTTACTGGTACTTGTGCTTACTTTCCAAAAACAAAGTAACTCGAATCTTTTAACAATGAGTTAACTTTGTATAACTACTTTGAGTCCTACTCCGAATACAGGTTCACGCCACTGAAGATGAATCTGTCTAGGGCTTTGCCTTCCAGAGGGCCGAGCCCTGGCTCTCACCAGGAGCGCGGTGACAGCCTGTGCCCACTCGGTAGGACTGGTACTTGCTAGGAACACCTGCATCTTCCCGCTGGGCTGGAGGGACCACTGTGTATTCAGGAGAATGCACACAACCACCCTAAATGATCCCTGAGACCATGTTTTCTTTTAATGCTTTTTTAAACAGAACAAAAGCCATAAAACTGAGAATTATCATTGACTCTTCAAGGTATCTTAAAAATAAAACAAACTCAAACCCCCAAGCTCTGGAAGGCACTACTGCATAAAACTGAAGATTTTCTTTTCTTCAGCACTAGGATTGAACCATGGACCCTCCCACTGAGCTACACCCTTAGCCAGCCAGCCAGCCAGCCAGCCAGCCAGGCAGCTTCCTACCCTCCACACTTACTTACGTATTTACATATGGAAGTTAGGTATGTATGTATGTATTTTTAAAAACTCAGAGACAGGATATTACTAAACTGCTAAGTTACCTGGGCTGGCCTGAATTTGTGATCTCTAACCTTAGTCTCTAAGTGCTGGGCTCCATTTCCAGCTAAGTATAATGTAGTTCTAAGTATTAAGGTCCAGAAACTAACATACTAAGTAATTAAAGGACATTTGTTGCCTTCGGTACAGATCAGTAACTGCAGTCTAATACTTTACATATTATTGTTCAGATATTATCTCCCCAAGAGTTTATAAAATACCAATTCACCTATATGATGGTTCAACTATATTAAAAATTATATAAATTCTAACTTTACATTCTAAATAGGATTATAGAAGTGAATCAGTTAATCGCAGTAAGCTCAGTAAATCTGGACAAATGCCTAAAGGTCACATGGGCTATATGACCTTTCTTTCATGTTTTCATGTATAATATGGAAATGTACCTACTGGCAGTCTACAGAGCCTGTATGACCTTTCAGCTGAACATTCTGACCAAATTAAAATTATCAAGACTAAGCGGTCAGTGTTTTCCAAATGTCCAGACTCCTACGATGGACCTGTGCCTCCCAATGAAGGGTGAGCTCAGGATTTTAAGGCAGAAGCGAAGTGCCAAGGTGTGCGTAGTCAGGGAGGATACACTATCTTCTGTAGGAGCAGCTGAAGGAGAGGTTCAGCAGCTTGTGCATCAACCTTTAAGCTGTGCTGAGCCATAGAGAAATGCTCAGGCAGTTTTATTGTCAGGCAGAAATAAAGTTTCTATGTCACGTTCTCAGAATAGGTTCAGGGTGGTTTTAGTAGAAAATGCTTCAGCATGTAGGATAAGAGGAAGAAGGCCACATGATTAGGACGGAAAGTGCTGGTGTGTTCTGTTGTTGGCAATCGTGAATGCTTCTGGACTTGATGGGCTGCTCCTGGGACCCCTGGGGAAAGGAGCTATCTAAGATTAGTTCCTTTATGCCAGGGGGAAAAGCACATACGTAAATTATTCTGCCTGAGAAACAGGCCATGTGCAGGAATGTGGTGGAAAGTCTTGGGAATGCAGTCTTTCAGCTAGAAGGGAAGATCCAGGAATAAAGCATACAGAGAGTTAACATCAAAGTACAGTAAAACGCCACAAAACCCAGAAGCTGGACAGACAGAGAGACAAAACTGGATTCTTCTGAATGTGCCCCAAGAGAAAGCAGTGTTTCGACAGTTCTTTTAACGCTGAGGTTTAGCTGAAGGATGTCGGAGGGGGAACAAAGATTGTCCTGTCCAAAGTGTGAGCAGGAAAGGAAACAGAAAAACAAAGTCAGTGCATCAGAAATGAGATTTGAGCAGAGTTTAGTATGATCATTTCAATGACAGTTAAAATTATATATCCTACAACATTTTTATTATGATGCATAAAATACGTTGAAAAACAAAATGACTTCTATGGGCAGACTGATTACTAAATAGCAGCATGAAATCTGCTTGCTGGTGCCCAGTATGAACATTAAGGACACAAGCAGAACTGGAGGCAGGCTCACAGGGGTGAGACAATCTCCTCCATGCCCATTCTTTTTTTCGAGACAGGATTCGCTATGCAGTTTAGGCTGGTCTTGAACTCACTATGCAACCCAAGTTGGTCTTAAATTCATGGCAACCCTCATGCCTCAGCCTCACCAGTGCTGGGATTACAGGTATGCACTCCCATGCCCAACCAGAAAATATTCTTTAATACACAAACAGATACTGGACTTAAAAACAAATTTTATACTCCAAGATAGTTCTTTTTTCAATGAAACATGTTTAACAAAAACGTAAGAGTAAGTTATGTTACTTACTAACATCATAAATGTTTTAGTAGTTTGACTTTTTTTTTTTTTTTTTTTTTTTTTTTTGCGGAACTGGGGATTGAACTCAGGCCCTTGTGCTTGCCTGGGAAGCACTTATTCCACTGAGCCATCTTCCCGGCCCCTGTAGTTTGACTCTTAATGCTCCCTAATTTAATCTGTACAATACTTGAAAGGTTAACACTGAGAAAAAAAAAAATGTATGCATGCGTATTACATGGGGACATTGTAGGATCTCACAAGTTGTATGTACAATGAGTTTTGTGTTTTACATTTTCAAAAGTGATCATGATTTCACTCTCAATTTTCATTTCAAGCCAACAAAGCAAGTGGGGATGCTGAGGTAAAGGCACAGGAGAGGCAGAGGAGGGAGAAGGGCCTGATAGCTCAAACTGGGACCTTCCAGGTGCACACGTATCCATCGTCCTCTAATTTGTGTGGCAAAAGGCAGGGTAACAGGAAGCTGTCTGAACTGGTGGTGGTAGTGGTCAGGGCCTTGGCTAGACAGCAGAAGAGAAGAAGGAAGAGGCAGCCTATGTGGAATGCGGTTTCCTCTTTATGGTATGGGAGAGAAAAAGGGAGAAACACTGCCCCAGAACCCTAATCAAAGCACTGTGAAAAAGACTAAAGTCTTTAAAATTGTACTTTCCTATTTCTGTACTTGGCTTCAAGTAGCACAGCCCTGAGAGAAATGGTGCTGGTCCATAATGCATGTTTAAAGGTACATAGTTTTTTTTGTTTGTTTGTTTTGTTTCTGTCTTTGATACTAGGAATTGAACTCAGGACCTTGTGCTTGGAAGGTACACTGTTTACTTTTTTTATGTATTTAGTACAGGGTCGTCTACAGGGTCTCACTACACAGACTGAACTCATAGTGATCCTCCTGTTACCAGCCTCCCAAGCACTGAGATTACAGGCGTGCAGTACCATGTCAAGTCTCTATACTGTTTTTCTATTTTGCTGACTGCAGAACATTCCAGATTTCAGGTTAAGGACTTTCAATCTTAAAGAAGATAATTCTGTAAAGCCCAGCATAATGTCTTGTTAAGCTGGAAAATAACACTTTGAACAAGTACTGACTCAGGCCAAGGCAGCAGGCCTTGCTTCGTTTTGGATTCCCATTCCCTGCACCCACCCATGCTGCATTCCAGAGCCACTGTGGTGTGGAGCTGAAGCAGGCACCAAACACATCTGTGCAAGGAGGGCCAACTCAGCACAAGGAAGGGAGAGAAGGAGAGGGAGCAGAGGGAGGGGAAAATGGAGGAAGGGGAGAAAGGGGAGAGGAAAGAAGGAAGGGAGGGAGGGAGGGAGGGAGGGAAGGAGGGAGGATGGGCTGGATGTTAATGTGTACATGCCTGTGTTAGAACTCTACTGATACGGAGAAAAATGCACACTAGTTCTCTGGACACCATATTAAATGCTCTATTAATATATTTAACGTAGTTTGATGAGTCTTTATATAGTAATAATAAAACAATGAAAAATCTAGCTGGGTGTGTGGTGCACACCTGTAATCCAGCACTGAGGAGTGTGAGGCAGGAGGACTCCTGAGAGGTCAAGGCTGGTCTGGATTGCAATCTAAATTCAAAGCCAGCCAGAAGTGCACAATGTAATGCTGTCTCAAAAAGACCAAAAGAGGGCTGGAGAGATGGCTCAGTGGTCTAAAGCACCTACTTAGAACAAGCTTGGCAAAGCATCAGGGACCGCGGTTCAATCCCCCAGCACCACAT